GGGAAATGAAAGAGCATGCGGAGGATGAGAAAGGTGAAGAGGATGATGAGATGGTGGGGGGAGGGAGGAGGAGCATAATCAAGGTCACTACTATGAGATGGGGCAAATGAAGAGGTGGGAGGGGGTGAGAATAAGGGCAGAGGGGAGGAGGGATGAAAAAGGAACAGGGAGCAGGAATGAGCATGAGCACGAGCCTAATGAGTATGGAGAGGAAGCGGACGAGGATAACCAGGGTGATAATACCGAAGGGCATCTGAATGATCATCCTCAGTAGTAACGTGAGCATGTGTACGATGTCTACGCACAAATAGAGTTGACGAGTAGGAAGACCAGTGCTCTTTGGAAGGTTGGTGATGATGATGCGCACGGTGAACATGATGAGCATGGCAACGACATGTGACATATGGGGAACATTTCGGTGCGGATCATCTGTACTGCACGTTCATGGGGGTGTTGATCAACTGAATGCTTCCCCGACTGCCTGTGCTTGGCTGGACTGGGGGCTGCCTTACACTACTACGGCAACGCTGCGGGCGGACGGTGAAAACGAAGCGTCTTGAATCCGCCCTTCCACGCTTCTGCGACGTGCGGATTTCCCTGTCGAAATATCCGTCAAATGCATTAAACCTCCCCGCACCTCGCCATCGCTCGGACGTTTATCCCCTGTGCATGTTTCGGTTTCGTGCGTTCATTGTTTCCGCCATGATCCAGAATGCTCCTCGACGGCCCTCGCCGAGAAAATACGCACGTCCGAGCGATGCCAAGGCACCCCCACGAGCCCCAACGCATTCTGTCGAGCACCCCCTGGGCGCCGTCACTCTGCCGAAGAGCGCGCCACCCTGCCCAAGCGGCTCCCAAGCGGGTCCAAGACGGCTCCAAGAGATGGCCCGCTATGGTCTCCAAGCGGCTCCATGTGGGTCAAGATGTGCCCTGGCATGTTGCAGGTGCTCCAAAATGGCTCGACCTTCGACCCAAGAGGCTCTGCGGAAAACCCCAATCTTGAATGTATTTGGTATGTGCCGTTCCTCGGCTTCAGGTGGCAAACGGAATACCGTCCAACAAACCCCGAACACTCCTTGCGACGATTCCGCTACGGCTGGGTATGTTTGCCCTGCCGCTGCTAGTATTCTTCCGTTTTGGGGCAACTGGTTTGGGCATTTGAATGCCGTTTAGACACGGCAATGCGCTGGGCATATTTGCCACTACGTATCGAAGTACTAGGTGGGCCGTCTTGCAACTCTCTTGAGGCCATCTTGGGGCTGTCTTATTGGCCTGTCTTGGGCAAACGGACGACTACCACGAAGACATACTAATTGGTACATGTACGGGTTTTCTACATAGTGTTGGCTTTGTTTCTTTGGGGTATCCTGAGGCTTCAAGCTGGAGCCTACAGGCCTCAAAGGGCGTCCAAGAGGTCTGTTGGAGGACACAAGACGGCTTGACATGCATCCGCAGATGGCCGACGAGGCTCCTCAGAAGCCTCGAGGAAACATACTAGGTTTCTGGGATCTCTTGGGTCATCCTGGGACCGTCTTGAAATTCATGGGTCTTCTTGGGACCGTCTTGAAATAGTTTTCGGCCTTCTGCAAGGCCGGCTTGGACTCGTTCTCGCTTGTCGTGGGCAGTGCTCCGCCATCTGAATGCACGCTGGCCTCTCAACTGTTACGGAGACATGCGGGCGGTGAGCTTGGACTGGACGGGTGCCGCACGCAAGCCAAAGCTATCCCCCCACTGACTTTCCGATTGCCATGAATGAAGATGGTCATGGAGGGTGAAGGAAACGGGTCCTGCACATCCTGCTGATTCCCCTGGGACGAGCTTTTCATCCTGAACCGTCCTTTGACGGTCCCGCTGTCTGGGAAGGGCCCCGGGATGCCCCAAACGGCGAACAAAGCTCAAGACGCATTGTATGGTGATCAAACTCTCTCTCTCTCTCTCTGCGCTCCCCTAGCCAGTGACGCTTACGTTAAGCTCCCGCAACTTCCTGCCGAACGGCGACTCGCGCTGAACCAGGTTCTCGAAGTCCACCCTCGAGATGCGGGGGTGCACCTCCTGGCAGGGCGATCGGGGAGGCCTGGACAGATCGGGGAAGGAGAGGCAGGGGAATGTGGAGGCAGGAAACCGAAGCACGAGGATCGAGGTTTCAGACTTTTGACGTTTTTGGGCTGTGCTGGGCCTCCAGGAAGCTTCTCGCCAACACGGCTAAATTCAATTTGAACATCTGGTCTACGATGCACCCCACGACGAATCCAATGGCCGGTTTTCCACCCCTTGACCCAGACCTTCTGGTGCTGGAACATGTCACACTGTAGCCTGGGCTTTCGGCACATCCGCGGGATAGTCCCACTGAACCAACGAGACCGCTCTTGCAAGCCCCTGTCCAAATGTCCTCCCGACTGCACCGTCACTGATGTGTCTGCTATTCTAGGGGGTGGCATTGTTCCCTGCGTGGTTGTTTTCAAATTGGGAGGATTGACGGATGAAACGGCCCACAACGACCCCTTGCGGCCGCCCCATGCCCTAGGGAGCGCACACCCACAATTGGCTGAGTGCGGGAGCGTCTGACAGACGCGCATCAACCGCGGGGGGATGGACCGATGGGCAGGAGGGCGAGGGGAAGGAGGGGACAGGGGAGGATGGTGTGGGAGGGGCAGGGGAGGGGTGAGGGAGGGGGAAAACGAGGGGTCGATTTACCATCGACACTCGTGCGACTGTGAGCATCCCCGCGCTTGACACATCCACCTTGCAATTGCCGTGCGTGGTGACAGGGCTCCCAATCAAGGCGAATCATCTTGTTTAGGAACCTACGTCGTATGCGTTGTGGGCACACGTAGATTCGTGCACGTCGTGTTCGTAGCCACCTCTCCTGCTACCACGCCGTTTTTCTGTCCTCTCCTCCTGTCCCTCCCTCTTCCTGCTACTCGCCTCTGTCCTCCTCCTCCTCCTCCTCCTCCTCCTCCTCCCTGCCCCTCCTCCTCCTCCTCCTCCTCCTCCTCGCTCCCCGCCCTCCTCCTCCAGCTCCTCCTCTCGAGAGCCACCCGAGAGGCCCCCCAGGGCACTAAGGCACTCCGGGTGTGCCTGAGCTGCGCGCGCGCCAGAGGCGGCCGCGCCCAGCGGCAGCTCTGCTCGGGCGGCCACTGGGCAGGCCGACCGGCCGCGGGCCAGGGAGAGGGGGCCCGCGGGCTCGAGGGCTGGGCCTCCAGAGGCCCAGCTGGGGGGGACGGGAGCCCGCTCCTCGGCCACTGTCTCGGGTCGGGCATGTCCTCCTGCAGGCGGGCTGTGGAGAACACCTTGTGACACAAAACCAACCGTGGTGCAACGGAATCTAGCAAAAACACGGCACATCGTCCTCATACTGTCTTTGTTACCATTCGGGAGTATTCCTCCTGTAGAGGGACATGCCCGACTTAACCATTGTCCGCCCAGGAGGTGGCGACATCTGTATCCTGCCACCACGCGCTCCATGAGCTTCACGGAGACGACGGAGGGAGGCACAATCAACGGCCAACACGAGGACGCCGTGGCATGCCTCATCGCGAACTCTGCCACTCGGTGCGGTCTACTGGGTGAGGAATTTCGCCTCCAGGCTGCCCGCGAGCTCTTCGATTTCTCGAGGTGCCGCAACGAGACCACCGATGCGCTGCTCCATCGGTTCTCCCGATTGAAGGGGGGCTGGGGCAGGGTTCGATTCGACGAATTCCGAACCCTACTCCCGCCGCCTGTCGAGCTGCATGAATCGTGGACCAGCGAGTGTAGGGTTCGGGTTTCGCCGCCCACCCAGGCCAGGTCGGGCCCTCGGCGTCGGGGCAGCAAGCAAATTTATCCCCTATTGACTCCGCCGGGAAGCGCGACGCGCCCGGCGAAGGGGGCGCGTCGTGTTGCGAGCGAACTTCCCTCCGCAGCTTAGCCACACGGGTCAAACGGAATTGACTTGGCCCATGGGGTGGGGGGGTCTCGGGTTGGTCTCGGGCCCAGCCTGCTACCGATCCACAATCCCCACGCTATTCCGTTTAGTGTACGATTTTCCACACTTGCTAATGACATTTGCCAAAATGGCTTCTTCTAATCCTTTCGCTCCTCGTCCTCTGGACCTGGTTACGGATTCAGGCCTCGGAACAAATTAGCGAACACTCATGCCGCATTCATCCGTCAATGCCTCTTCCTCCCCCCAATGCTCAAAATTGGCGGTGGGTCCGACGATATTCACTTCGACCGCAGTGCCCCCCGCGCGTGCCAACATTGAGTTTGTGGGGGAGGGGGAGTGTTCAGTAATTGTTTCCCTCTACCGTCTCATCTTCTAAGTTACCCCGTCATTTGCGAGTTGGCCGAGCGATTCTGAGGGTGAGGATGTCTGCTAGACCATTCTGATAGTTATATATATATATATATACATGTCTATGTAAGTGTAGGTATGTGTATATACATATATTCATGTAGCTGTATATATATATAAAAGTATTTTTTGAATGTGTAAATATTTGTATATACATATCCGTATATCTACACACACACACACCTTTTTATATGTATAGCTATCTGTATATACATATGTCGAGAGAGAGAGAGAGAGAGGGAAAGAGGGGGGGAGAGAGAGAGAGAGAGAGAGAGAAAAAAAAAAAAGAAGAGAGAGAAAGAGAGAGAGAGAGAGAGAGAGAACGAGAGAGAGTCACACAGAACCTTCCTTTTTCCAATGTTCTGGCGCCCGAGTCGTCCCGCGCCATATTGCTACGTATTACGCGTATTCGTCCCATCACTCTTCATTTTCCTGTATTACTCGTATCACTCGTAGAAAGAAACTAACCTTCTTGATCTATTTTCTGGTTCTTACGAGCGATACGAGTAATATGTGAAAAATAAGGAGTGATGGGGCAAATGATACGAGCAATGCTTGAAACATAAACAAATGTGCGAAACGCCTCCCGGGGGGGCCCGGGGCCGTTAGGGAGGCGCTAGACATAACACCATGCAGCCGCTTTGGCTTTTGATTTTCGTAATGATTGAGATGACTCCTCCCCGGTCCTCCCCTCGAGCATTTCCCCATGTACGTCTCCCTGAATTTTTGCGCCCCAAGCAGATCGAGGGCAACCGCGCGCCAGGCAACGCACCCACAAGCCTCGGAACAAATTAGCGAACACTCATGCCACATTCATCCGTCAACGTCTCCTCCCCCCCCCAATGTTGAAACGGTGGGTCCGACGAGATGCACTTCGACCGCAGTGCCCCCCCGCGCGTGCCAACATTGAGTTTGTGGGGGAGGGGGAATGTTCAGTAATTGTTTCCCTCTACCGTCGCATCTTCTAGTTTACCCCGTCATTTGCGAATTGACCGAGCGATTTTGCGGGTGATGATTTCTGCGAGACCATTCTGATACATATATATACACATATATACATACATATATATATATATATATTTATATGGTTGTATACATATATGTTTATATGTGCAAATACAAATATACATATATCCATATTCGCATGGGTATATGTAAGTGTATGTATGTGTGCATATATATATACATATATGTATATGTATATATATATACATGTATAAGTATGTATATGTATATGTTTTTTGAATCCATATGTATACACAAATATTTGTATATACGTTTATACACATAGATATATGTGTGTGTCGAGAGAGAGAGAGAGAGAGAGAGAAAGAGAGAGAAAGAGAAAGAGAAAGAGAGAGAGACACAGAGAAACAGAGGGAGAGAGAGTCACGCAAAACCTTCTTTTTTCGAATGTTCTGGCGCCCGAGTCGTCCCGCGCCTTTTTTTTTCCACGTATTACTCGTATCGTTCGTCCCATCACTCTTCATTTTTTCCTATATTACTCGTATCACTCGTAGAAAGAAGCTAACCTTCTTGAGCTATTGTCTTGTTCTTACGAGTGATGCGGGTAATATGTGACATATAAGGAGTGATGGGGCGAGTGATGCGAGCAATGCGTGAAACATAAACAAATGCTCGAAACGCCTCCGTTGGGGAGGCGCTAGACATGACAACGTGCAGCCGCTTTGGCTTGTGTTTTTTTCGTAGTGGTTGAGATGACTCCTCCACGGTTCTCCCCGCGAGCATTTCCCCGCGTGCGTCTTCCTGAATTTTTGCGCCCCAAGCAATTCGAGGGCAGACGCGCGCCAGGCAACGCACCCACAGGTCTCGGAACAAATTAGCGAACACTCATGCCACATTCATCCGTCAACGCCTCCTCCTCCCCCCAATGTTCAAGCGGTGGGTCCGACGAGATGCACTTCGACCGCAGCGCCCCCCGCGCGTGCCAACGTTGAGTTTTGGGGGGGAAAAAGGGTGTTCAGTAATTGTCTCCCTCTACCGTTTGGACGTGGTGCTCCAATGCCTGGCTTTCAACAGTTCCCGATGTCAGCTCCGACGATGGGTCCTCCTCGTCCAGGTGCGATGCGCGTGTTCGAGGGTCAAATGGTCGATCTTCGCGGGGTCACGGAGGACCGACAGGGCAGATTCACGCCTCTGCATCTCGGCGACCCGGCTGAATTCGAGGTCGTGCCGATCCCGACGAACCACGTCGGAATGCGCGAGTTGATGAAGAAGGAGAAGATCTTTCCAGGTCTTTGCAAGGCAGAGGACGATTGGATTCGTTCGCTCGATCGTGCAGCCGAGGTGTCCCAGCTGAGTCCCATGTCCGTGCCTGACGAGGTTTGGGTTGATTATGTGGTAGGTGTGCGAGCAGTGCACGAGAAACTAAGTCTGGCCCCCTCGGAAACAGTTCAGAGTTACTTGAACCGTCGGCGCCGCGACCATCGATCAGTCGGCGCAGGAGACGAAAACAGAAGATTTCCTTGGCTTGGGCGTTCGCGATCCAGACTTGGGCCGGTCTGGGAAGATCCTCGCAATCGAAATCATGGTCGATGATTGCGCCTTCGAGATCTCATGGGGGGATGGCTTCGAGGAGAGCGTCGCCAGAGATTACCCCTAAGCTGGACTTCTCGAGTGCGCGGGTGAATTTTCAGATCGGCGCTCCGAATCCTCGCGCGCGTCGCCGCCCCCGCGTAGCAGGAGCAGCTTCTTCGGC